CGGCCAGCTTCCATAACAGGCCATTACACTGGCAAAGCTGTTTGCCGTCCGCATTGCGGTGGTCCTGAGCTGCTTGTGCAATTGCATTAGGGGATTCCCCGTTCCCCACACAAATTACACACACACATATATAAGATATTTATTGCATTTTTGTTTACCGGGCGGCGGGTGTGAAGTTTAATAAATTTTAAAGCATGCTTTTCGGGATTTTCTCGTTGCCGAAATTTATGCGGCTTTAGAATTTAGGGCCACAAAACAAAAACCAACAAAAAAGAGAAAGTAAACATATCGGATAAGAAGTTATCGCGGTGGCAACATCAAAGCCAAGTGCCTTATCCGCTTATCCTGCCCAAGAATCCCTGATCCACTTAGAGTCCTTCGAATGCGAGGTCCTGCTGCTTGCTTTATAGCCCGCCTGCCGACTGTCACACACGTCCATACATTTATTAGCATATATAGCCAGGCACTCCCCTTCACCTAATGATGCAGAAATGTAAAACAACTGGGACTCCGAGCCGTTTCCAACCCATTTCCTTCTGCTGCTCCATGACTCCATCTCTCCATTGCTCCAATCCTCAGACCCATGTGGAGCGCAGAGGGATTGTCATTGGCAATTGTGATGTGGCATACTGATTTTGTTATTCTGCGAGCTGACTCCGCGTGACGTACGCGCTTTTTATTTCTCAAACGTGCTGCGAAATCGAAAACTGCAAAATAACCAGGGAGCAGAACTATCTCTGCGAATGCGAGAATCATTGCCATCAAGTTAAGTCCACTTTGCTGGATATTTGTATGGGAAATTCTTGGGAAAAGTAAGAGTCATGAAGAAGATATCAAGAGTTTCTCAGGGTTTTCCATAAATTTAATATTACTCGTATTTCGTTTTAAAATCTTAAGAAAACTAGTAATTTTTCTTACAACATTCCAGATTTATTGTTCAGATTTTGGCACCTTTTGGCCAAACTCCCAAACTGAAAGAGTCATGCAAAGGGTTTCGCTGAAAGGAGATGCGTTTTACTTGAGAAGTGCAGCTGAGTGTCCAAAGTTTTTCCTTAAACTTTTCTTTGGACAGCAAAGTGGCGAGTTGGGATGTCGAGATGGAAAACTTCTACGTGGGAAAACACTGGGATTCCCCAACTCTGACGTTAAATTGTTTGCCGTGGCGATGCAGAAATATTTCCGTAAGCCAATAAATACTGGAGAGAGAGAGAACTAAAGACAGAAACGTAGCCTCTTTCTGAGAATTTACTTTGTATACTGCCCTGCTGAACTCTGCATTATTTTCCATAGTTCAATCGTAAATACACCTTTACAGTTCGTCTTATGATTGACTTTTGTGCCTGCCTATTGATGGATGCCAAAATAAATGCCAATTTATACACCTATTTGGCCAAATTGAATTACACGAAATAGGCTTATGTCTGAAAAGAACGAAAGGCAAACTCAATTTTCTGGCATTGGCTTACGATTCTGGTAAGAGGCAAGGTAAAATCCAATTCCTATATTTTGTGGCAAAGTGTCAAAAGCCTTTTGTTAAGATTATAAAGCTATCTAACTGATGTCAGCCTACAGAATCTTACTTAATATCTTTTTTGATTTTAATTTTATCTTAGATGCGTTTTCATTAAGAAAGTTAAAATCTTACCATAAATTAAAAACCTTGAGACTGGCCATCTGCCGAGGAAATTTATTCGTCACCTTTTCCCGCTTTTCCATTTAAGTTGAAAGTCTCTTTCGGCATGCATGAATGCTTTTCGAGGGAAACTCAAATAGAACGCAGATGAATGAACCGGCCTGGAGTGAAAGGTAAATGCGTGAATAGTTGGCTGATTAAACGAGTGCCTAAAACACTTAACAAATGCAGCTAGTGCCCTCGAAATCCTTTCGTTTTGTCGCAGCGAGTTGAATAATTCGAACGCTTTGGAGTGAGTTGAAGTGTTTATCTATAGTGACTAGTAGGACTGGTACTTGGCTCTTTTACAATTTCCACTGAACCCAATGTGCCAACAGTTTTTGGCCACATTATTGCACTCCATTTAAAGCACTCATACGCAGAGTAAGCCCATGACTGGGAACCTATTTTGGCACATAACTGATGCTTTTATTAGCTGGTCTGCACAATATTAGACCAGTTAGAGAGCAGTTTGGTAGTTGGAGTGGAGTAGAGTTTCGCAGCCACTGGAAACACCATTTTCCCGAATGAAAGATAAATATCATCTCAATTAGCTGCCATAAAATGTATTTCGCCATCCTGGTTACTGGAACTCGTGTGTAACCCCGTCTTTAATGATGAAAGCCACTCAAAGTTCGGCATGAAATTAATAGCGTTGGCCCCAACTGTTTTGGTTACCTCAGTTTACCTAGTGGGCAAAACTGCCAGGCGGCCAGATAAATCTCCCTCTGCATATTTTCTCCAGCACGAGCACGAGCATAAGTTAAAAACTTTGCACCAACAGTGCCATGCCAGGCCATTCATTAGCATGCAAATTTGAAAATTTATCAGCTGGTGGTCTACGCTTCTACACTCGGAAAAAAATCTATCAAAATTTATCAACTTCTCTGAGATAATTATAATGAATTGATAATATTTGATGATCCACAAATCTGATTAACAATTACAAAGTTTTTATGTACTTAAATGTCACAATTACTAAAAATGTTCATGATTTTCCAGAGTGTTGGTTAACTTCCTTATATGGTGTAGGTCCTGGTTTTGGTCCTGGTCCTGCGAGCGGAACTTTCCCTCACCCTGGGCACTTTTTGGAGCGGGACCGCATCTGGTTCGGTGGAAGCTTCACTAACTCCATCAGCTCACATGACAAAGTTTGTCGCACAAATTATACACAGATCGAAACCGAGGCCAGCTGAAGGAATCTCCAGACGAACTATATGTTAACGGCTGCTGCCCCAGATGCTTTGGGAACTACATCTTTATGGCCCTGACCTCGCAAATATGCTCAAGTACTTTGGCTTGATGGCAGTTGGCTTTCCAAATTGTTGTGGTAAGTTCAATAAGTTTGACAAGTTCAAATGAATTGTCTCCTTTTCGTAGAATGAATACCTCCTTTGTTGTTTGTTTTATTTTTGGTGTAGAGCTTGAGGGCGATTCATGTTTATCTTGCAATTAGAACAAAGTACAAAAAGTCAACATTTGTGGAGATTTTATTAATTGGATATTTCCTTGGGCTAATAGTAGTCACATGCAGTGAATCATATAAGTAAATCTAAGTACTACCAACTAGTATAAACCTAAAAGGTAACTTCTGAATCATAAATAGTGAAGTGATTTAAATTGTTACGCACTTCCTACTCCAAAGTTAGTAACCCAAAAAGAGCACCTGACACGCTTACAGGGCATTTTATTTTAGTAATGGTGAACTGGTCCGACTTCTGTTTCTGACTAGCCACTCTCTTATCTTGCACTACAAAGAAACATTAAGGTAAAACCGATAAAACATGAATGTATACATATGTATTGGCAAATATTGACAGAAGTTATTGATTACAGACGTAAACAGAAGGGGCGTCTGATATGACTGCACTGATTTAAAAAAGAAACTGATAATGGCAATAAAATTTCGTTCTAAACATTTTAGAGAAGTGCCTACTCAGGGTCGGAGTGGTGACCCCTAAAAAGATAACGATAGATAGAGTATTTACCTTCAGACTACTACTGTCTTGGTTTTCGGGGTATGTGCCTTCTCCAAATGGAACCATTGCTAATATCTGGGTATTAACTAACCACAAATTTAGGTGTATCTATGTGTATGTTGGTGTAATAAACAAGAGGAAGACCCCCAGATAAGAATCGATGTCTGGTCGGGGTTTCAGTTTTTCAAGAACTGTGCTGCCTTCAGCACAACTTTACTCGCGGTTAGTTTTATTATAGAGCCATGTATATGGACGGTGGAATAATTTTAGCAGAGGAATAAATCATTTTTATGAGAATTATTAATTAGGAAAGGAAATTATTCAAACCCTTACAGTATTCTTTGGGCTAATTAATGGTGGACCGCAACAGTGGTGTTCAATACGAAAGAATGCCGACTGTTACTTTCAGGTAAAAGCTTAATCTGTAATACTAATACATGTATACATATAATACTAATACATAAGTACATGTAGATCATTGCATTATTGGAAATTAAAGAGCTTATTATAGGTCTTCTTAAACTGGATTAAACTCCAATCACATCATTTACCAAGAATAAAATCCGCTTTGATCTAACTACTTGAACTTGTGAATTTTCGCTATATATTTTACCAATTAAACATGGCGTACGATATTCACACTTTAAACCGTCTGACTGATACATTTCCAGTCGCCCTATAGATGTGTTAGGTCTTTCATAATATTTTGGTTAATATTTTTAACACTTGTCACGTAACTTTCCCTGACTCCCATGGAGTCAGCCTCAAGGTTTTCCATTTTTAAAACCAAAAACCATAGCAAAACGTCATTTATTTGCACTCTGCTCTTTGAAATTATTTGAGAAGCCAAATAAATTGACTCACCTGGCTAATATTTGCTCTTCTTGAGTTCGTCAAACAGTGTTGACCCAGTAAACAAGACAAGAGCATTGGAATCTAGACTGCCAAAGGCGCAGAGATAACCGGCAAGTTCTCATATAGGAACTTTTTACAGCCCTCTGTATATATGATAATTGACAAGTTTGTTGTGATGACGCGATATGGATATCGCATTGTTAACGATTTCAAAACAAATCCAAATATATGAGAAAAATCCCAAAGACGCTATGTACAGCAGCCGTGTACATAATTCAGGGCCCACTGATGAAGTGCAAATAGGCTAATAAATTAAGGCAATAATAAGACTGCAATAGATTTATTTACACACACGGATCACACTCGTACTCGTACGGTGAAAATAGCAGGCTAATAACAACGCTAATCAGTTAGTCAAATATCGTCTGCCCGATAGCTCCGACAATTGGAGTAACTGCCTCTGAAACGCCTCAGTCTTCGCTGTGAATCGAGTCTGTGAGGGCGCGGATAATCGCGGCTTAAGAGATCGCCGATCGATCGGTTTATATATAGCGACCGATCTGCTGACCCCTTTCAGTCGGATTCCACAAAAAACTGCGCTGCGGCCCGGAAATGTCGCTAATTAACTTGAAATCGAAAGATATGTACGACGAGCCCATTAATATGTGGAGGACCAAGCAGCGCGTCCATTATCACCACGATGTTATATCGAAAGGAAATGAGTTAGTTTCGGATTGAAGATAAAGAACTGCAGTGGCACATATACACGACGGATATATAATATCTTTATTTAATATAAAGACAAAAAGTGATATTTTTCGTAGAAGTCTGTTAAAATGAAAACAATTCAATCGTGAAAATATTGCCATCAAAGGTTTCGTTTTCCCTCTCCTAATATTTCGAAGTATTATATCTAATCAAAGAGGTTCGTCAAAGCCATATAGATGTCATACTTTGACATTAGTTTTCGTAGTTTCTTTTTGTACGCGAAAGCCGCAGCTCAAGTCCCAGACACTGATTGCAGGCAACAAAAGGAAAACGTGATCACTTAATGTTTATGTAAACAGTGAGAACTTATCTGACTTTTGATTGATGAGACAACAGACCGACTTTTATCTATCCACTTATGTACAAATTAGAGGTATTTCCAACGGAACACGCGTGCTTTTGTCACCCACTGGGTGATAATATCTCGATTTGCGGCCAGAAATCGATCAGAAATCAATCAAAGCTGCAAAATACATACAAAAGTGTGCGATTCTTTCAGGGACAGGTTAAAGGCTTTCAAGTGATAGAACCAACCACAAGAATCCAGTTTTCGAAAACCAAATTCAGTTCATCGGAAAGCACTGAACCTTTCGCTGGCTCTCTTGGGACCTTCGCGTGTACATGTGCCACTTGCTGAGCTGATAGAGTCCTTAGCCTGTCTCTAACTAATTTCGATCCTACAACAGCAGTCACAGATCCTCCGATGCCTGTGAATACATAACCATAACAGCGCCAAAGAAGTCGGCTTCGTTCTCAAGATCCCCTCCGAACTCGCTGCCCCCTTCGGTACCCGGAACACCTCGTCACTCGGTAGCCAACACCTCGAATCAGGTGATCCGTTACGCCAGAACGTCCTGTGATCACTGTGGGCACCACAGCATTCCGGTCATGTCGCCGCATCCCATCTCACCGCTGGCCAAGTCCCAGACGAACCTGGATCTCGTGGAGCATGGCAGCCAGCGGCAGGCTCTCCTTCCTCTGCCCACCATTGGAATGCACCACGAAGACTCCGCCTGCACCTTGCAGGTGTCCCGGAGACCATCGCTGCTCCTTCAGGAGATCCTTACCCAGAGACCACCGCTCTTCGGGCGGAAGGACGCCAACGGCTTCCTGTCGCCAAGAAGTGCAAAAAATGGGTACATTTCCGATCGCATAATCAAGTTCTGGAAAATCTTTAAACCTTTTCTTGGATTTTTCACCAAACACATCTCCCTACTTCACTCTGATACTCCTATTCCTATCCAATGACTATGTGTTTTTGATAGTGGCTAATTGTAATCACCTTTACTAAATACAAATTGAATGTTTTCGAATTTCCCTTACTTAATCTTTATACTTTTTTTAATATTTTGCAGTAACCTGCAGGGAACAGCGAGCGGCAGTACAGCGACCATTAATTTCCAGAGTGGGACGACGAGTGCCAGGAACGGATCCACCGCCTTCTTCGACAATGGTGCCAAGAGCTTCCAGGCCAAACAGCAGAAGGAGAAGAACCGACGCACAGGCAAGTAAGTTGAAGAAACTAAAGGGGAAACGAATTCCTTTTACTTATTTGGTTAAAATATCTTTCCAGTGATGCCATAAGCTCAGCGCTCTCCGCCACCTATTGCAAGCTGCTGGTACTTCTTGGCGTTTGTCTGCCGATCACAGAAGTAATATCCGACCAGATTCCGACCTATGTCTACCAGGGATTCTACGTGTACCTCTATGTGGGCAGCATCCTCTTCGTGATCTTCCTGTACATCAGCGCCTTCCGAAATCGATCGCTTTTCAATGCTTTAAAGGACTATCGTAAGATTGAAAGGGATGTTTACCTAAACCCATAAGCTAAAGTTACATACATTTTCAGATGAAAAGAACAACAATGTGCATCTGAAGCATAAGGTGACCCATTTTGGCAGCTTTTACCTGAGAGTGGGAGCCATTGCCTTTGCCATTGGAACCATGGTGTATTCCGGTCTGGAGTTTGGCCAGTTCTTCGAGCTGAATGGCCATCCCGGATGTCGAGATGTCTTCGTGGCCATCACGCCCATCTGCCGAATGATCCTGTGCATCGCCCAGGTGCAGTTCATTTTCCTGAACACCACCTACATGGACATGGCCCGGCACAAGGTCACCTCCAGATTCGGACTGATGCACATGGTAGCCACCAACCTGTGTGAGTGGCTGTATGTCCTGGTGGAAGAGACCAAGCACGAGATTTTCCACATCGGCCAACACGAAGTGGATCCAGCCCACGAGCAGGTCATACATAATTTCACCACTAGCAGAACGGATTGGACTGCTGTCAATGAGTCCCTGCATCAGCATCATCCCCATCATCCACTCAACCAAACGCTGCTGACCAATTTAAGCTCCGTTATCGCAAACATCACGTTGACTCCTTCCCCCACGGCGGCTGCCTTCAGTGGCTGCTCCCGCACCACGATTATGGGAGCTCTGGTCCAGCAGCTGTCCCCCTTTCCTGTTCCCCTGCACCATTGAGTACTCCCTGATCTGCGCCGTGATCCTCTTCGAAATGTGGAAGACCGTCAAGTCCATTCCGGACATCGATAAGTCTCGCAAGAATTCCGTGAAGCCAGTGACCGCTAAGCCCGCCCACCACTTCTCCGTGGATTGCTCGGAGTCGCACAAAGGACTCTTCTTCGGCATCCTGATCATAGTCATGACCATTATCTCCATGATCATGTACTTCGTGCTGTACACCCAGCCTGGGTACGAACTGGTGGCCACCCAGGAGGTCACTCTTTGGGAGACCTTCATGTACTTCATGTGCGCCTCTGCTGTGATAACGGGTAAGTAGGGCGCTCTTGGGATATAATATTATATAAAATATTAACATTAATATTTTACAGGCATGATCCTCATGCGCGATCTGAAATACATCAAGGAAAACGGCGAAGAGCACCACTCGATGCACTTGGACAACCTCCTGCTGATTGTGGCCCAGACTGGAGTCTACTTGTACGGAATGTTCAGTATCCTGGGCAGTTACTTTGCCAAATGGGACACAGTACCCGATCGAGTCGAGGGCATCATAGCGGAGGTCTTCGGAGTGGTGCAAACCTCACTGCAGACCATGTTCATCCTGCACGCCAGTCATAGGCGATGCAAGGGTGCCAAGCAGGTGAGGAGGAAGCCTGGCAGGGAGATTATCACGTTCCTGCTGGTGGCCAATATTGCCATCTGGTTTGTGAATACCCTGATCAAGGGGCGAGCCGTTTTCCGGGAGTCCCATCTGGAGTTCTTTGGCGTCTGGGGCTGGACCATCATCACCCACATCTCCATGCCGCTGGCCATCTTCTACCGCTTCCATTCCACCATTTGCCTGTTTGAGGTCTGGAAAATCACCTACAAGGCCAAGGCTCATTAGTGGCTAAGACGGACCTTTTGATTAGTTTTCTCTAGCTTTCCTTTGACTAAGTTAATTTAAAACTCAAGCGTCTACTTGTGAGCATTAGTTAATTTATGTTTAAGAGCGAAATTTGTTGACATTGCTGGAACAAAATAAAGATTTAATTTATTCAGATTATGGCTTGATTACCACTTTAATTGGTTGCATAAGTATTTACCTATTTGGTTATAAATAGGGGTTTTTCTAGAACACACAATTTCTAACTTGTTAATTTTAAAGCCTGTTAATTAAAGGTTGCAAGCCTCTAATCACTTCGCCTGGAGTTACGTGACATTTGTTTGCTTTTTGTTTATCAGAGGAAGTGCATATATTACTTATTGCCTTATCGATCAGCTACTTAGACTTAAAGAAAAGGATTTAACGACTAAGTCAAGAAAGGTGTTTAAATAAATCGAGAATAAGTGCGATTCACTAACAAATTGCCTTGAAACACGTCATAGGACATCGCGTGCCCAAAAGCAAAATCAGGTATTCGTGTATCAAATTTATCGCGGCCCACATAAATCTTGAGGCAGACAATTGACAAATCGGCGTTTCCGTTTCCTGTTGCGTATCCTTTTCTAAGAAAAATGTCAAAGTAGAACGGCGATTGAAAGGAGCTGAAAGCAGGGCTGTACGAATGGAACTGTCTCATGGGCATAAATTTGACATCGATGTGTGCGGGTTATAGAGGGCAAAGGACTTTCGAACAGAAACATCAAGGTAAATAAAAAGGCATTGAGCCATGAGGTTGATGAATTGGCGCATTTAAATTATGTATTTATGGGGAAATCGGAGAAATTGCTATTCAGGTGGCTTACGCAGCGATAATAAACGGGCAATTTGGGGTTAACAAATCGAGTGATGTGTGGCTTTATCACGTCCTTCCGCCGAGCACGTGATTCGAATATTTAATATAGCCAAAGCCGAACAATCAATTGATATAAAAAACTTTAAGCTATTGATATCCTGGCTCGGATTTATACTTCATAATTAACAATGAAATAATAAAAAAACAGACAGAAAGCAGCTCTCAAATAAAAAAATAATTATTTTAAATAAAATTCAGTTCACGTGCAGGAAAATGTAAAGCCATCTCGGATGCAGGACCAAACTCACGTGCATCACACGTGACTGGCCCGCATTTAAGATGCAATTAAAGAGTAAATAAGATCGAGTTTCCATGATGACTGTATTTTTACCCCTTTTATGAGCTCAGATCAATAAAATGAATGTTTAAATATGATTAAAATATGATTTTCAACAGCAAACCTTGAGAACTCATTGCTTTATAATCCATTTAAATTCGACCCAGACTGAAATAGCCATCATAATTAGAAGGCAGTCGCAATTTTCCACGGAAGTGTGCTAATCACAGGTAAAAGAGTAAGAAAGAGGAAAAAAGGTGAAATGAGGAAACTAATTAGAGGTCTGCGAAGCGAATTGGAACGGCAAAACATTCTTCATTATACTTTAATGTGGAGTGTAAATAATTCACCAGGCTACCGACTCGAGTTCAAGTTCAAGACGAACAACTCCATTACATTGGGCTTTGAGGAGGCGGGGGCAATGTCAACAGACTGCCACGATTGTCAACATTAATAAATCAGCTGGGAAAAATTGCAGTCGATGGCACTTTTTATGATGCCATCATCAACGTGCCGACTATTCCAGATGTCAGCCACTGCCCCCCCAGCCGGAAAATAGAATCCGGAAAAGAGCACGAGCAGTGGAGGACTTGTAAATGGAAATGACGCGGAAGCGCTAAGGACAATGACGGACGTCGACGTCGAGGATGACGAGTTTTCAGTTTCCAGTTCCCAGCTTTCAGTTTTGAAGCTGATGGCCTCCCCAGCGTCTTTTCCTGACGGAAATGACATTGCCATGGAGTTGACACCGCCGGCGGAAGCGGAAATTTAAAACAGACCAAATGGCCGAGCAAAATGGCCAAACAACTGACGAATGCTAATCAAGATGGGAAGTAGGCGAAGGAATCTAGACTTATTGAGGTAGGAGGCAAGGGCCATTTTTTTTTACCCATTGACCTGAATTTACTGTTCATGTCATTGAGTAGAAAAATTAGTTTGTTTTTTAAATTAAAAGTTATATCTTAATACAGCAAATAGCAGAGTTATTCAACGGCCTAAATTTTTTCTGATTTTATTGAAAATAATTTAAAAAATGCATTTTCCTTAGAGCTTGATGATTTTGTAAAACACTTTTGAAAATGTTACATTTCATATCCGCAACTTGTAAAACTTGGTCTATGCCAATCAATACAAAGTCTGTTCCCAACTTCATGTGAAGGCTACAACTTTATGCACACTTTCTGGGTAGTGAAATGCAAGCAAAATTAAGTTTTGAGCGGGTGAAGCGTTTTTATTTGTTCGATTTGAAAACGAATTTGAAGTTCCGCCAAGTTATTCGCAGCCGAGAAGTTTCTAGTCAGATATTGTTGTCTTAAGCTGCCTGCTAAGGCAAACTTTGGGATACACGGAACTGAAATCTATCAAAATCGCTTGAAATCAATTGGTAGGGAATTTAAATGCAGCTGCAACTGAAATCCTGACAAGGATGTGTATGTGCTTCTCTAAAAGCTTTTCGAGCTGTAGTAGCTAAACAGTAAATAGAAATAAAACCATTCACTCCCCATTAAATGAAACCGAAGAGGGACGAGCATCACGTAGATCGAGAGCATTTTTCCTGTCTTGAGGACAAAAACTGAAACAAAACGTGTTCCTGGTGGCAAATCTTTTGTGGCGCCCCTGCTCTCCCTCTTTGGCAACCCGAACACGTAAGCCACGCACATGGATGGCTAAAGACATTAGAACGACACAATTAACCTTTTTAAAGGAGGATGTCAACAGTTGGTGACGGGCTATGGTGTCATGTGGTTGGGTTATGTGATGGAGCTTAAAGGGCGGCTAAGCAACATCTTCATTCGAAATTTAATATTTCAGCAAGAAGTTTAAGGGAATTGTTTATTATTTAGAAGAAATCTGTTCACATACGTCATTGATAAGCAAATTGAACTTCAATACCTTTTATCATAACCTGCTTAATAATTCCCACGAAACTTCACTGTAATTCCTCCCCAAGGCAAATTAAATTATGCACTGCGCCGGGAAATTTAACTCAAACGTTTACTTTTTTTGCAAACACAGTTACGCAAATATGGTGAAATTTTAATAAGACACCAAGGACACCTTGAGGCCTTTTCAATTTGTTCTCAACGACGACTCGAAGACAACGAGAAGGAACTCCCTTTCAATCTGCCCACCAAGCCGGCACATGAGACAGTTTTCCCACTCGGAAAGTATACAAAACACACTTGAGGGGGTAACGTAATATTTTTTGTTGAGAGGAAAATTAAACAAAAGCTTATCCTGGCGACGAAAAGACTAAAATATCATATTCCAGCTTGCCAGTAATAAGATTACTTTTAAGATTGAAATCCGGGCGACTCAAACTTCCTCAATCGGCTTAAAAGTCGAGGGAAGAAGTTCGGAATTTAAGGAAACCCGAGTCAAAGAATGCAGCTATCAAACTTTAATGAACCGCGCCATACAGTTGCCTAATTGGGTATAAACCAGGACGGACTTCGGTTTTATTCTGCAGTGGAAATTGACATTTGTGCAATATAAAATTTAGTGGCTATATCCCAGTTATTGCAATTCTTTTTTATGTCCATATTTTACGACAGTTGCGCTGGTCTCCGAGGTCCTGCGGAAAAACATATTCAATTGCAATGCAAGAAATGCGCAAAGCTGTCAATCATTGTCACGGGTTTTTTATTTCCGTGGCGTAACACATGGCGTATGAATGATTGGCGGAGTAGGTAAACTAGATATGAATAATGAAATAAAAGCAAATGCTGCAAATGACGATTCCGGGTCTGGGGCCTATAAGCCTGGGCACAAAAATCACCAACTGAATAATGAAAATATATCCTTAGCACACCCGCAAAAGCTCACTCGTATATCAGTTTTATGGGCGACAAAATATCTTTCTCAACGTGTGAAAAATCGCCAAATGCGAAAACAAATCAAAATGCCGACCGAAATAATTCCTTCCCTCTCTTTTTCCAGGTTTCTGTAAGATAAATGTTGCGAGGACAGTAATAAAATATTTATACAAAAATCCGGAAATCTAGAATGCTGAATAGAGACGCAAATGTTCGTTTTGGCTTTTTTGTTCCAGCCATTGTTCCAAGCCATTGACTGATGGGAATTTGATGGAAGGTTCACATCACGTATACGCCCCGGGGACGTGCCAAAATTGAAACTTTCATTGGTCAACAAATGTGACACTTTCGGAGATTTATTCTATAAATGGTTGGTAGTTTGATTTCACAGCAGCTACACAAGATGGATATTTTCTTGCCTTCCACTCTAAATAACCAAATATTCAGTGAACTTGTGATTTATTTTGTATTATTTGTATAATGGGTTAATGGTTTATGTGCCACAGTAGCTAAACAGGGTTACAAATGGAGTAAGAATTAAAGATAAAAGGCCTTCAGCTACCTACCAATGCAATACTGGTTCTCAGAGGGCTCTCCTGAATTGATTGACGGGTTAAATGTTCACAAGTTAAGTTACTCACTTAGTTCCACAAGTTCTCTTGCTAAATGCTGCCAGTTTCTGACTTCCAAATGTGACCGGATAGATCGGAACACTTATGCCTTGTGAAACGATTTTTTAACTTTGATTGCTATACACCACTGCCCACCCGCTTTTACCCAACTTCCTATTCCCTTTTCAAAATGTATACCCAATTGTCTAGAGCTCAGCCAATTGCGAAACAAAAACCATGCCACAAAATATCTTTTATTGTTTTTCGGTCCTCGCAAAGCACTAAAAATTCATTCAACTTCGATGTGCTCGGCTGCAGTTGCAACTCCATTTCCATCAGACTCCCTTGCTCTCTGGGAAATGAATTATTTATTTACGACTGCACATGGTGCAATTTTGTATTACCAGTTCACTGCCTGGCGGCATTAAATTTTCAATGAACTTTGTTAGTATGACTTGCAAAATATAGGGCCAAATTGGCTTCTTTGTGGCCTTGAATCATCTCTCACAACAGGAATTTAAAGTTACAAATACTTGCCTAAAGTCAGTTTGATCGATGGA